GGCCGGAGCCCCCGCGGGGCGCACGGGGCCCGCCGGGCCGTGCACGGGGCGTTTGAAAAAAAATAAGCTGAGCGAACTTGACGGAGGGAGGTTCAGCTCCGCCAGGAGCCGCTTGGCCCTTGCGCAGCGCCTAGGAGCAACCGTGAACTTTCATTTTCTGCTCCCCCCCTTCCCCTGGCACTGCGAGTTTTGAGGACTTATCACAAGGTAGCTGGTAGTCGGGTTGGCGTTTCTAGCCCCATTTCGCATACGGGGGGGGGATCGAGATGGAGGTGGCGGGTTGCTCAAGGCGCCGAGCAAAGGCACGTTACAGGGCAGCTCAGACCACTAGTCTGCACTTGACTTGTGGCTGCTGGAGGGCTCTTCCCTGCGAGCTCTCCTCGGCCCGCGCAGACCTCGCGCGTCTCAGAGACCCAAGGCATCAGGGCAAGCAGGTCCGCGGAATTTTCTACTCGAGCTTTTACCTAATACACTCTAAAATAATAATAATAATATTAATAAAAGCAGCACACAGCAGAGGCCTCAGACTTGCAAACTGCTGTTCTCATGACTTGGGGAAGATTTTCAGAAGTACATAATGAGAGTCCAGGAGCTCCCTTCCCAACTGACTTTGAAAATCTTCCCTTCACGTATTTGAGCTAGTTCTGTTAAAATTCAGCCTGACGGCTTACAGTCAAATGTTCCCAGGCTCGGGGCCTAATGTCACTAATGATTCCCCTGCTCGCTTCTAGGGCTGCAGTGTCAAAAATATAAGCAAAGCAAGCTTTGTAAGGAGAGGTAATCTCCCTCTTATTCTTCTTCTTTTCTTTTTTTTTCTTTTTTTTTTCTTCCAACTGACACACTTGGAGAAAACAGCAAGCTTTTAGGCTCAGAAAGCTCAGACCATCATGGCTACGAAAACCGAACTGTGAGTCAGGAAGGAAAAAAAGGCGATTCTGGAGCTCCTTAGTGAAACAGCAAGGCAAAACAACATGTAAGTAATCGCACACTAATATTATGTATTTATGTTGCTATATTTTCCTCGAGTTTGAAGTTCAGTGTTGTTCAAGAAACTATTTTTTTTCCTTAGAGAAGATTAGCCAGCAGAAAAACTTAAGTGCCTAAGAATTTTATGCTAAAAAGGAGAAAATATAAATAATTTTATGTATATTTATATTTTCACTCTTACTTTATTAAAATTAGTATGAGTGAAAATTTCAAAAAGTGTGCCTTTGAACTGAAGAGAATTATAGTAAATATTTTCAATTTTTTTGAAGGTGGTGTACATGTGAAAAATGGTACTTTGCTGTAGAAATATCAATGAAAGCAGTAAAGGAGAATATAAATTATTATATTAGCTATACCAGTTCTCTGGAGTTAGATTATGTGTAGTTTTGCCCTAAAATATTTCTAGTCATTATTTTTCATCTGAATAGCTATTTAATCCAACCATAATGTAGAAATAAGATACAGAAGATAGAATGTCAGTCTGCATATGTACTCTTTTATCTGACTCTCACTATTGTCCTTTGGAACATAATTTCTATGGTTTCATTAAGATTTTTAATGAAAGTGCTATTTTTGCATCCCCTGATAGCCATTACTTGCTCACAGATTCAGATACCATACTTAATGCACATAGGCCTCAGTTCTGCATAGGCTGAAATATGTATCATTTTGTATGAGCACACTGAGCAGTGCTGTTCATTGTTATGTTCTTCTGTCTCAAACTTAATACATATATTAAATGTATTACACTTTTTTTTTTAGTATTTCTTATAATTTCATGAAAGAGAACCTAATATGAAAATCTTGATTTGCCAGATTCTTCAATTTGTATCACTGGGATTAAATTTCTATAATGTATGAATATATTAATTTGAAGATTGGGGTGGTTAAATATTTAACTAGCAGAACAAGTAAGAAAGCTGGGCAATCCATGCAATATGAGATGGCTATTGCATTCTCTGGCTGTAGCATCTGGGTGAGGATCATCAGCTTGTTTCCTCCGTGGCTAGTGAAGCCAAAAAGTCACAGCAGGAGCACAGCGGAGGACAGAGGGAGAGGACAGGGATTCTGAGCTTCACCAAAAGAGAAGTCAATTCTTTAGATTAAATTTCCATTCCAAATAACTTGGGCTCATCAGAATGGTGGAAGTCTTATCCCCTATGGTAGCAAATGTGAGATAAACTTGCACTTTCTATAATGGATTCCCTTCCTTGTTCAGAGCTCATTACAGCACTACCTGAGCACCTTCTGTAGTGCATATCTTCTGTCACGGATTCTTCTAATCAGAGAGTGTCATTACATTGTCAGAGAATCATCTAATATTGTAATAAGTGACTTGACAAACATTAGTCATGTTTTCTGTTCCTTGTTGCCAGAGGAAGGAACATGTGCAGTTGAATGTTTTCAGTTTATTTTATGTCTTTTTTTCCATATATGTGTTATGTATTTATACTAGTGAGGCAAGGTCAAAGAAATGTGTTTTGTTTTTCAAGCAAAATGTGGTTAGGTTTTTGATAGCCCTTAGATCCTAGGCAAATTCATCCTTCATATACTTGAATCAGACCCTGAGTAAGTGCTGTGTGTAAAAAAGGTAGCTTTTTCCCCCAGTTGTTGTACAGGTTCTCTTGTGTCAGGAGAGGGAAATTGTTGACCACAGGATGCGGTCTAGAGACCTAGGCATTTCTTCAGGATTCAGGCCCTTTAGGATCTTGAGGCCCTGAGTTTATGATAGAAAATTGGAAAAAAAATGACTAGAGGAAAAGAGGGAGACTTCCAATAGCCAACATTGTTGAGATGACACCCCTCAAGCTTCCTATACTTTACACAGAGTTTAGTACATGCAGCAGACTTCATACCCAGGTATACTGCATTGCCTAGGTGTAGCTGAGAGGCTGCCAAAGCAAAACAAGATTCCTGCCTGCCAAAGTGTTGCAGAAGCTGATAGCTAACCAAGGATGGGTAGAAAGTGGAGAGCTGTGTTCTGACTCAGGCACACATTTTTTTGCTGATTACCTGCCTCTGTGTACGAGGATTAGATAAATTTCTTGTATTGCAAGCGGGCATTTTGTCATTACTGTGTAGGTTTTTTGGTTAGATTCTTTGATATGCCTGGGTTCTTGCATCAAGATACATCCAGTATCTAGCAATTATAATAATCCTTTCAGTATTTGACCATTCTACATACCATTTTAGCATTTGGTGTTGGTATAGATGATACATGTATACTGCCAGTGGGAATTCCACATTTTTAGGTGGTTTTTTTTTTCGTAATTTGAGCCTTACCTTTCTCTAAATACTCATCCTCCCTTCTGTACTATATCACCAGCCTCAGTATTGAATCATCTAAGCCTCCTATCAGCTGTCTTCTAAAAATTTGATATCAGTTGGAGTTTAAAAATTCACTTTAATAAATCTTGCAACTTCAGTTGAATATCCTCTTTTACTTGTACATTTTCTGCTTTTTTCTGTAGCCATTCGGACTCTGATTTCCCCTAACAAATACAGGATTGCAATTACCATGGCAATTTTGGTTTGGTAGCAGTGATAGTGGTTGTAATCTAGAGAGACCTAACTGCATAGCATTTACTATTGCACAGTGGCAAGACTGCAGTAGCAGTGAAAACAGAGTTCTGAAGTTGCCTGTATAGACCTGATTTAGGGATGCTTCTCTTGGCAGTAAGGACTGTTAAGAAATATGTGCTGGACTGGGACTTATATCTGCTTTATTAAATTTCCTATAAACTTCTAGATGAAAAAAATGTAGCAAATTTTTTTACTGTTAACTACCTCTTAATTTTTTAAAAGCCAACTTTTAGTATATATTTTTCTGCCTTTATAATAACTGTTTTTAATAAAGACTAATGTAATAGTAAAAAAGGTTGGATTTACTGTATTTACATTCAGATCTTACAATATTGTGACTCTAACACAGTTATAGGCCTGCATTATAATAATGAATATATCACTCTTTTCTGGGGATTTAAGAAAGATTTAATTATTGTTAAACTTAAATTTCCTGGTAAAGCTTTGCTAAAAAGGCCCAAGTGTAGCTTCTAAATATTTTAATATTTCTATGGGTTTAATGGTTGTGAAAAGTGCTGGCTCGGCATCTGTGAAAACTTAAGCCCATTCTTTATTCCTGGATTAATTACAGCAGAGCAGTTGCCAAGTGATCTTCTCCACAGTACCCATGAACTTCAGCCTTGAACTGAAGAGGACTCATCAAATGGTGAGAAAATCATTTAGCTGCCATGACTATTAAGTTATTGAAGGGATCTTCTGTTCCTTTTTTTTTTTTTTTAATTCTTACTATTGATTCTGCTATTTAATAGGTATCAAAATTAGATTTTTCACAGAGTAATTGCTGGGACCATAACCACATTTCCCCTCCTCACCCCAGTATTTCAGTTGTTAATTTCTCAAGCTTTGTTATCTTTCTAGTTGTCCTTGACTTTTCAAAATTATTGTTAGTGATGCACTGAATTCATTAGCTAATTTCTTTATTACTAATTTGGACTTAGTCTTATGCATGTGCTTAACTCTTTACATGAAGTTCAGATATGTAGAACTATTTGAAAGCCTAATGCTTAAACTTTTCAGGTATGTATACCTGCATTTAATGAAATGAAATTGAAATTAATGCAGGGGTGAGTGATCTCTGAAGCTCTAACCGCTAGCCTAACTGCTAGCTTTTTTTTTTTTTCTGTTTATTTTGTTTCTTTTAAGACAGCTTGATGTAAGCTGCTCATTTGCTTCTTTAGCTTCGCAGTTTCTGGAGATATTTGAAATCTGAGCTTCAAAGCTGAATCTTAAAAGCAGAGTGTTTGATTCTTTTTTTTTTGTACAGAGGAATGTAAAAGATGGAATAACTATATATGTACACACACACACAAAATACAGTTGCTGAGTGCTGATACCAGCTTCCTGATCATTTAGATAAATAACGACTTAAAGTAATGGGGCAGAGAATGATCTGTAGTTCAGGAGATGGATCACAGTGACCAGAAGCGCACAGGACTCTGAGAGATGTCCCGGACCTTTTTTGGTTTACTTAGTAATCTGAGGGACTCAACTTTCTTTTTTCTTTAGTTACTGTATTTCAGAGTAAAGGAATAAAAGAGAGAGAACCTTTCTAGCAGCTTATGATTTCCACATTTCCTCCTATCTCTATGGTTGTTACCATAGCGATTGGAACAGTGGAGATTAACCCTCTCCCAGCTATTTACCAAATGGGGCTTGGAGGTACAAGTGTGTTTAAACATGGAGAAAAGATGGTGAGACCATTATACGAATAACTTGGCTACATCCTGTGTTAAGAATTGCTTTAGTACTGTTATCAACCCCTGAACTAATTTAACCTTTGCTGGAGTTATTTACCATTTAGTGTATTAAAAACAAGATTGAAAATTTAAGCCAAAAAGAAGCATTGGATTTCAGGCAGAGTGCTTTGAGATATAACCCAGAGGTCATTTATTTTTAATGCAGATTCAACAGTCCCTTCCTTTTTTCCTTCTCAACTACTTTTTCTTTAGTTTCATTTTTGGGACCTGTTTCTTCAATTAAGTTAATGTTAAGTGCTTAATTATTTACATTCTGCTTCAGTAAACAGTTAAGCTCATGTGTAAAGCACAACACTTGCATGAGCACTGCCTCTGAAAGAAGACTGAATCCAAGTTAGTCCCTTGCATTTTGTGCTTGAGTTTGCCTAGCTGATAACCAAGAGTTGGATTCAGGCTAGAGCAAAAGGGTGAGTCAGCAAATAAGCAGAATGAGGAATTGGGGCTTGGATTTGACTGCATGCTTGACAGTACAGACATACTGAATGATTACAAGATGACTTGAATTTTTTAGTTTAAGCTTGTCTTCAGCTCTTTTGTTAAGCTGAATTTAAATTCTGTATATGCTTAAAGCTAAGCATGTGCTTAAAAGGCTTAACTTAAGGGTTAAACATATTTGGAATTGGTATATATATATATCTTTTTACTTCAGTAGAAGAAGAGATAGGCCAGTGTTGAACCATTTTGAGAATGCCATTTCAAATACTCTGCTAAGAAGATATATTTTTTTCTTTTATTCCATATCTTTTTCAGTTAAATCACTTTCACTTCCCTGACGCTTATCATGCACGTTGTTTCCTGCTAACCTTTCCTCTAATGTCCAGTTTTCTATTAACTTTTCCACACTATTACTGACTATTCTTTGTCTCTCTCTTTTTTTTATGGGAGTTTTGGAGAGGTCATTATGCTTTTTCAGTCTTTTTCCTTCTTTCATCAGTTGCTGGAATTCAACAGCAAATAAACCCCTCTGATTTCAGCTATGCCTTTTCTGCCAGAGACACACAAATCAAAGTTTAATATTAGAGCAATAGAAAGGGGAAGACTAACACTGCAGGTGTAACTTACAAAAAAGGGAAACAGAATATACATACTATGAAAAATTATTCCCTAAATTAAAGTATCAGGATCCAGGCAGCAGTTTGAGGATTCTAAGGTGATTCTTTAATAAACATTGCTTTTATTAACAACAAAAAAAAAGGGGGGAGGAGGTGTCAAACTATACTGAATAGATTCATTAAGCTTTGTATCATGGTTCTGTTCTTGAAATATGTATCTCTGAACTTCTCTTAAAGCTTGGGAGATACAGCATTGGAATTGGAAGAGAAGCAGGGATCTGCATGAAGAACAGTCAACTGCAGTCTTGGTAAGGTGAAAAAAAAAGTGCATATAAGATTGTATTTCTCTTAAATTTTTACTGTGGTACATATTTATGGTTCTGTGCAGAGTGCATAACAGAGGCAGCTTTATTGAATCAGCTCCTACATTCTCTGGATTAAGTTATGTTATCACTATGTAAAAATCTATGTTATTCTATAGCTGAATTTGTGCTGTGACTCCTGAATGAAAAAAACTGACATAAAAATCATCAGTTATTTTTCACAGTGATTGTGCTACAGTGTTTTCACTCCCAGAAACAAAACAAGATATGAGGAGGCTGATAGCACAATCCTGTATAACTTTTGAATCCACTGGTTAATTTTAGCTGCACTGAGGGATGGAGGTTCCCAAAGACAAGTTCTGCAGTTTGAGTGAAACTTAACAGCTGCAGGTAGGAAGGGTCTCAAATTAGTGCCTGCAGGGTAGAAAAAGCTGCAACACAGACTCAGAAATTTTCTATTCTGTTCATCCTGTTAACTTGCCAGGCAGCATGTTTCATTGGTCCATCCTTGGTCAGGGCATGTGGATTTCAGATCTAGCACTGTAATGAGCTGCCTCTCAATCCTAATACTCAGAAGTTGGGGTATTGTGCAGGAATTTTGGGAAATTTGTTTAGAGGGGAAAGGAAAAGCAGCTGCGGTAGCGTCTGCTTTGGATTACTGCAGAAGTGTGTTGGAGGCACATACACCAGGTCGATAGATTTTGTTAGTCCTACTAGGAGTCAGGAAACAGCTTGTTTTTGGTAGGGTCTCCTACACTCGCAAACTACTTGGTAATCCTTCAGTTTTATGGTCGTCTCTGTACCGGAATTAGATACGCCCTTTTCTTGTCTGCATCAGAGAAGGGAACTGTTGCAGGCAGCTTTAGTGCTTCATTTCTTTGCTTGTTTGGGTGTCAGCAGCTGAGCCATTTGTTAGACTGTCAAATTTGTAAAACAGTTAAGCACTCCCAAGAAACCAGCTGTAGTTTGGACTCCAGCTTTAGGTTGCTGACCCACCCTACAACCTGCACTCCTGGAACTGTGCAGGAAGCATGCACTGTACTCCAGTTAACTCCATTTGTGAGGAAAGGTGAGGAGCTGGGCACAGAGGCAGAAAACAATATTAGAGTCTGGCTGCATAAAGTTACCATATTCCATTATATCTTGGGAAAATGCTAAATTTGTAGCTGCACAATCATGGACTCTAGGAAAACTGATTGTTCCGAGAGGTCTGATCTGTCTTTTCTTCTTGTGCAGTGAGAAATAGGCAGATTGCACGTGACAGAAGGACTGGCTCGTTCACTTCACAGGCTCAGGTAGGTCGTACTAAATTGACAGGTGTTTGTTTAATATTACTGTTTTTTCTGTGTCACCTTAGACAGGGGCTCAAGATCTCACATAAGGCTTTTATAAACAAAGTTCAGGTTTGATGGTGCTGTTATATTTCTGTAATGGTGTATGTATCTTAAAAGAATGAAGAAATGTCTTCTGCAGGATTTTAGGATCTAGTGGCTATTTTTATAGTTTTTATTGACAGTACCTCTTGCATAGTGCCACCAGTTAAATATGATTTCATGGAACCCATGGCTAGTCTCTTTTTGAATGGTTTATAATACATAAAACATTGTAAATGATGATACTTTTCATGCAAAAAAATGTTTTTAAAAAGAGTAGTAAGGTTAAATTCTACATGTTAAGTGTTGTGTGAACAGCAAAGTACTAGTGTATACAGATTTAATGTTGTATTTTGTGCTTCCTGAATGTTGAATGTTCAATAAGAGCTTAAATTTAGCAAATACTTCATGATAGTTGACTTTCATAGTGTTTTTTTGTTGTTGTTGTTTAAAAAAAAGCTGACACATTTAAATCTAAAATGACTGCTGCTTTATCATGTCTTGTCAAAAATCTATGATTTAGGTATGGTAGTCTGTGTGGTCAGATCCTTTCTCTCTTAAAGATGTCTTTAAATTCACATTCCCATGCACAGAAGTATGTGTTTTTGGACAGCCTTTAAGCAGTCTTAAACACTAAACAGCTAGTTAGTAGACCAAAGAAATTAGGATAATTAATTTATAGAAAATAATTAAAAATACATCTAAATTAATATTTAACATACATATCAGTAAAGGCTCCCATAATGTTCTGGCAGAACAAATAGAATTCCTAAGCAATTTTAATCCAACATTTTTGTAAAAAAAAAAAAAAAAAAGGAATTAGAATGTCCTATAAAAATGTACAGAACTTCTTTATTATGTGGCAAATGCTACAATAAAACCAGGTATCAGAAGGTTTTGCTGCACATTACTAATCTATTTTTTTCCCAATATTTTTTGCAGGTGTTTGAAGAGGCAGGTCCTGTTCTCACTGTTACTACTCCCACATAGGTGGACTCTGTAACTGATCATGTGTGGGTAGGGCCCTATTGAAATTAAGGAGATTCTGCCATTGTACAGGGTTCTGTTTGTGAAAATTCAATTGCAAGATCAGGACCCTACTGTGACTCCTTACTGTGCATACTGTCAGTGTATCATTGATTGTGCTGGAACCTGCCTTATGGGATAATGTAAGTCCTGCTTTTCCTCCAAATGTAATTCAGACATGAAATAATCCTAAAACATTTCCATTTAGAAAATTATTATCATTTACATGCATTCTTTTAATTATGTTTTCTTGGCAGTACCAAATAATATATTCCTCAAAACTTCTTAATGGCACTGAGGCTTTGTGGATAGTTGGTCACATGATGAGAAAATTCAGCTGTAAGTACACTGAAATGATTGAATTTTTCAATAGTTAGTGTTTTCTGATACTCACGTACTGCTAAGGATAAAAAAGATGAACTGAGAGGTTTGACTTATATGTGACTTCAGTTCTTTCTAGAAAATATATGCAATATCCCCAATAGGAATTTCGTTATTGTCAATTAATTTACCATGTGAACTTGAAGTCCAGCAGTACTGCTGTTAGACAGGAAATTTAAAATTGTTTGCCTTACTTGTTTTCAAAAATACCATGCCTCTGATTTGCTCTTCACTTCTACCCATAACCTTTTCAAAATGTATAGATCTATAAAAAAAAACTGTTTATACTACCAGTATTTGTGTAGGTATTGCAAACAGGTTGACTAACATTATTGTCTTCTGCTGAGTGGAATATTGAAAAGTTAATAAATGTGTGCTTATGTTTGTGTCAGTGTAACTTGGCTAAATTAAACTAAACTAATCTGGCATTTTGAGTGAATTTGATCATGCATGTGGATTAACTGTATTCATTTTTATAAGAAACTATGTATCTTATTGTACCAAAGTACTTTGTGCTTAATTGATAATAATTACCTATATCACACGCCAGTAGATTTACCCAAAATAACTATAAATATCCATACTTGGATTAAGGAGGAAGTTCTTTTCCTGTAACTATGGGTACAGTCATTGCTATGATTCCTATTTTTATATCCAAATGAGCAAAGCTACGTGTAGGTGTTTTCCCTGCATAACTAAAGTGATATTATAAACTCTGTGGCCTTTTTTTTTTTTTTTTTTGGTGATTCTGTATTTCCTTTCTGGTATTCAGATACAAAGGGATCTCAGTATTTGAAAGGTGGAAGAACTGGACATGATGTTGAATTTGTGAATTTTTGCATGTAAGAGCAATTAGAAATTCTTTCCCACAGAGCAGGGATGCAGATAATAAGATTAGAGAAGACAGGGGTTTTTTTTTGTTTATTTGTTTGACAGTGAAGAAAAATTAAGACCAACAAAGAAAGCAGGCGAGAGATTCTTGTTAAAAAGGAAAATGGATGACAGAAGTATTTCTGAAAGGAGAACTGAATGCTTAGCTACTGGCATTTCTCAATGCATTGAGTATATGATAGATTTAAGTTACACATCTCTTTTGTTTAAAGCTTTCAGTAATGTTTTTTTTTCTCTAAGATTGTATTATATTAGTGATGAGCATTTGGGCTTTGAAAAATAGTTAATGACAAGCTGTGAACTCTCTGTATCTATGAAGCATTCAATGCGACAGTTGAAACTTAAGAACAGAGGATAGTGGGTTATCTGTAGTAAACTATTACTAATGCTAAATAGAAGCCAGAATTTCTTGTTCAAATACATAACTTAATGATTTTGAAATGTACCATTTTGAATGGTGCTAAAAACACAATTTCATTATTTTCCTTACAGAATGAGAATTTTGAAAGTTCTGGTTTAAAAAGTTAACAGTGCCCTTTCTGAGATTTTTTTCTATAAAATTAAATGGAGATTTGAGAACTTTGGATGTTTCATTCTACAAAATCCTTAACATTTCTTTACCGAAGAAATCTTAATCAGCATATTTTCTGTTTAAATTGTTTAAAGTACCTATTTTAAAGAACTGAAAGTAGAAAAACATTGAGAAAGCAGATACCAAGAAAAGTAGTTGATGCTGGTGGAAGTCAGGGAGTCGGCATTTGCTCCATGGACACCATTAAGCAGGCTTGGGAATAGTTCAGGAGCTGGAGATACCAGACTGCAGCAACAGAGAGTAAGTTTCCTATAGTGGTAAATGGAGACGATAGCTCTGGTTCTGTACGCTAAGAATAAGAAGCGAAGGAATGTGCCTGAGCATTCAGCATGTTAGTCATTGTAAGTTTAAGCTGTAAATTCTTTTTCTCTGCTGTTGTTTGTGCTTGGCTTGTATCACCACTGTCCTGTCTTCAAGCTGGATGTAGCATGGTTTATTTTTGTTTATGCTGGATGAGGCACCCATCATAACAAATGTCATGAACATTGTTTTTCTTCAGTCCTTGAAAGTCAAAACGTGGTAGTATAGGTAGTAATAAGTTAGTGCTAACTGTAACATGAAAGAATTTTCTGGTTGCACAGCATTTATAGGAAAAACAATATTTTATGTGTCACTTCATATACCTCCTCCCAGTCTCTTTTCCACTCCTAAGCAAATGTAATGCATGAAAGCTTTCTTCAGTAGTGTCCTTGGTTCTTCACTTCCAGTTAAGCTATTGGTTCTTTGTTGGTACTTTTTTCAAATTTAGGTTGAAGTCCTCATAAAGCTTCCCTGCATCCTCTGTAAACGACACCATTGTGCTGTTGTTTTGTTTTAAGTCATCAAATCTAGGCTAAATCTGAGTTTTGAAAATCTTTTTTTTCCCAACCCCTCTAAGGATTTCCTCTTTCCTCTCGGTCGGACAATTATATTTCTCATCTAGGTTTTCTGTGGATCATATTTCTATTAGAAAATCTTTTTCTTTTGCCTTGATGAATGCAGTCTTGCCATGTTCAGTATCTATTCAAAGTGCTACTGTAAATTTCCAACTTACTCATTTGGCTGTTTCAACCCCGTCCTCCAATTTAAAGCAATAAAGATAAGCTATCTGTCTTTGTTTTCAAGGCCCATCAAGACTACTTCTACCTGATATCTCTTCTTCAGTATCAAGAGGTTGACACTGATTTTCATCAACATGTGATGCCAGCTTCCATCACTCAGTCGTTAAATTTTCAGACAACACTGGATACTTTCTCTTCAGCTGCCTCTCATGCATTGGTTGACTTCTTCATAAACAGAACTGCTCACTATCTTCCTTTAAAATCTTCTTAATGTGTTATGTACTGTGAAGGTTAAAACAACCCAAGTAGACAATAGGTATATTGCAAATACATTAATGCCAATGCTTGTCACAGTCGTACTGTGTCACTGCCTTTGTACTCTGCCATAATTTCTCTCTCGTCTCCTATGTGTAGAATTCAAGCACGTTGACGTTTTGTTCTATGTTTATTTGTGGCCCAGAGAAATGGTAACGGGTCCAGGGTGAGGCCTCATAAGATTCGTGGTAGTTTAAATAAATAATAATACTAATGTATATCCATTGGATACTGTAGGGTATTTGTTGGATTCTACTTTGCCTCATGTCATATCGTATTTCATGCAGAAAGAAGGTGCCACAAAAAGAGGCCTCACAAAAGGGAAGGCAGAGGTGAGCTGCAGCCAGCAGATAAAATGCTGACCCCAGAGGTCTTCTCAGCTGTCAGTCCCAAGTCAGTAGCTGTTGGCATTTTGCCCTGAAAGTCTCCTTCCCATAGCTTCTCCATAGCAATAAGAACAGACTCTCCTTCCTCATGAGAGAAGGAAGAACATGAATATTTCAAAGTTCTCCAGTGTGTGCAAAAGGAAAAAGGACTTTCTATACTTTTTCAGTGTTCATGTGTTCCTTAGTGCATTCCCTTCCTGACAGCATCTCTTGCTACTGAAATCTTGAATGACCACAAGCTGTTGTTCCAGCATCCTGTTGGTCACCCTTTTTACAAATGCCATCTGGTTCTCTGTTGAGAAGGCACGTACACTAATTCTGATTTGGTATCTAGGTACATTCTCATCTCATAGTGCTCAGCTTTCCTGGTGCCTTGGAGATAATGACTCTTCAAAAGAGTGGTAAGCATGAATTGCATCAGGGATTCCTCAGGTATGTTGCCTTCTTTCTGGAAGTAGCCCTTTTTTTTTAAAGCTGATATATTGGCATATAAGACAGTGAAGAGATGATGGTAGGGGCCATGCAAACAGATAGCACTATACATGCTAAAGATAACATAGTCAAATAAGTTGATTGTATCAACATGTACGACAGAATATAATTACAAATGGTTCTATACCTTTATAGTAGAAGTCTAGTAAGAGCTCTGAACTAGTTGATGGGATGGAGAGGGCAGCTGTGAAATGCTGCGGGAGACTAGAGAGGCTCTACAACCAGAAAGCTTGATCATAGTGTGAGTTCTCAGTTATCTATTTATAGGCTGGATAAATTTAGTGTTAGGCCATCATGCACAGACTGTATTTTTAGGTACCATAAAGAACTACTTTTTGAGCAAGTTAGCTTGAGAATCCACAAGAGAGGCAGCCATAGATTTAGTTCAGAGCAGTACATAAGATTTTGTTCAGGAAGTCACTATGGAAGAGCCTTTCAATAGGGGTATCTCAGAGCACGCTCAAATTTGTCATGCTTGTAGGAGAGAAAAAGACAAATGTCTCATTCCAATATTGCTTACCTTAAAAATAGGAATTGCATGGATATGAAGAAACAATTTAAGTGAAAGTTAAAAGGAATCAGTTAACAAGGTAAACTACTTTGGGGAAGCACAGAGAGTTGCTTTTTGATTCTAGCCCAATTAGACAAGAATCGTCTGGCGCAATTGAAGAGCAGAACTAAGTTAGAAACAAATAGACATTGTTCAGAAAGTGAAATACAAACCAGCAAAACAACAAAATGCACAACTTTGGCAAGTTAAGTGTAGATCTGTTATCATGGGTGGTTGGAGTGGGAGGCCAACGTGTTATCAGGAGATGAAGAGAAAAAAAGATGATGAAGCCATATCAGGAAAAAGAAAAAAAGGAAGAATTCTTTGCACTAGCAAAGTTTATCCGAGGAAGGTTAGGGACATCCCCACACCAAAGCCATTATAAGGAATTAAGGAATGTCTCAAATCTGAAATGTCAATAAAAGACTTTTTTTGGTAAAAATGATGGAATAAGTATGAACAAATTGCAGGATAACATGTTGTTCAGTCAGTAATCCTAGGGGAATTCAGAAATGAAATTGCTGAACCAAGAACTGGGTTGTATAGTCTATCACTTAAATTAGCTTCGATAACAGAGGGATGGAAACGAGCAAATGTGACACCAGTCTTTAAAAGGGCTCTTGGGATCTTGGACTAACGAGTGTGGCTTCCATGACAGGCAAAATGATAGTGAATATGATAAAGGATATAATTAATAGAACGTGCTCTAGGTGACCCTGCATGTTCAGGGGGTTGGACTAGATGACCCCTAGAGGTCCCTTCCAATCTTAAGCATTCTATGATTCTGTGAAATGGATAACTATAATAGACAGCCATCATCTTGGCTTTTGTGCAGGGAAGTTTTGTCTTGGAGCTTCGTTATTTGAAAGAATCAAGATATATGCATAAGGTGATGTAAAAACCTTCAAAAAAAGGTTCCTCACCAAAGACTGCTACCACAATGAAGTATGGGTTACTGAAAGTTTTTTTGTGGATCAGTTAATGATTATAGGACCAAGATTTGTACCAGCACTTTTGCTGGTCAACATATTTCTAAATATGTTGAAGTGCGGTCTGAAAAGGAGGAAAAACAGTGCAATGGTAAAGCTTTGGGATGATAAAAGCAAAGCAATAAGTCAAGTCAGACCTAATGCTGACTCTGAGGAGTCCCAGAAGGATCTCCCAGCAGGAGCCCTGGCTGTCATCAAGGCTGGATACCCCTGAGCTGCAGTTGAGCAGGATCTTGCAGCAGAGAGGGAGAGGCTGCTGCATGACAGCAACCACTCACCCCTAAGCTGTGAACTCAGCAGCCTCCGAGCACTCCTGCTGCTCAGGAGGGCAGAAACTCATAGCTGTTCTTTCTAACTGCAGCGGGGGCTGCGAGTCGGAGAGGTGCAGTTCCCTTCCGCGTGTCCCCGGCTCTCGCAGCCCTTACTGAGCCCAGAGGGCAGACTTTGATCCCAGAGCTCCTGCCTGTCGCGGGAGCAGCCTGCTCCTGTCGAGCTCATGGGTGGTAATCTTGCTGCTGGCAGCATACGTGGAAGTGTTTAGCAGGGGGACTATAGCTCCCTGCCTCTCAGAATAGAAGAACAAGGGGCCAAGTGGTCCCTGTTTTCTTTGGCTTCGATGCTCTTTAAGGTGGCAGCAGGCTGCTTGTTGCCAGTTGCGTGTGTGACAGTTTTGGGGCGGTCATTTTCCAAGCGCACAATATCGCACTGTTCATAGGTCCTGAAAACTCCACTTGTCCTGGGCCAGCTGTGGCCAATATCCAGTCCTCAACCTTATATATTCTGCAGTTTCATAGCTTTTCTTCAAATAAATTTGTAGCCCTTGTTGTTTGAAGATAAATTTTCGAACATGAATCAAATGTTGACTGGCTAGTTTTTCTAAATCTGCAGATTTTAAGTTTCTGCTTCTATTTGTTCTTTTGACAGAGAGATGTTACGGATGGTTGGACTATTTTACTTTTGTTTAGAAACGTATGAGCAATGGAAAATACTTTGGAAAGCTAAAAGCAGTAGCAGAACCTAAAGTTAATCACAGGGGAGATCAGATAAAGTAGTAAAAAATGTTTTACACAGCAACCAGAAGGTCTGGGAGGAGGGATGGAGTAGGGGACATCATTACACCTTTGAAGCAGCTGCAGTGGTCTCATTCCCGAAATGCTGTCCACAACCCCCTGGTTGTGTACAAGATTAGGGGAAGCTGAGCAGCTGTGGGGCTAACCCGTGTTCGACAGTGTTCTAAGTAGTGTTTTCAATGATGAGTTCCATCATGTGGTGATTTGTGAAATAGGTTGAGGACTGATAACGTTCTGTCGACCTGAGAAATTGGGAATGTCTCTCCTGGAGTGTATGTTGAGGAAGAGGAGCCCCCCTTCTCCCTGGGTTTCGGCCTCAGGTAGGCCGTGTGCCTCTCCTCCAGCACGGAGCGACGGGGTGCCCAGAGGGGAGGCAGGAGGAGCAGCCGAGGGCTGTCAGTCCTTCTCTCCCGCTGCTGCTCCACTCTCTCAGAGCAGTAAGAGAACTGTCAGACTTTGTGGCATAGCCCTTGAATTCATCGCTGGTTGCCAGCCCTCCTTTTCATGTATTCTCATGACTAGTACATTGAGTTTTCTGAGCAGTATCAACTCTTGGATTCCCATCAAACAAAGACCAAAACTTCTCAACTCCACTAGCTGAAAATACATATCTGTTTTGTGGATGAGCAGGATGTTTGAGCCAGATGATCTCCAGAGGTCCCTTCCAACCTCAGACCATCTGGGAATGCATATCCAATTTCACATTGCCAGAAAAATAGATTTTAAAATTTTCTATCCTATTACCGCTAACATACGTAAGACTAACGAGTATTAACGTGTCTTTCTATAATCTCTGTTTGCTACTTTAAAAAATCCCAGTTCTCTTTGACCAACCTCTCCTTAATTTACGTAAGCTCCCAGAATGGTAATTTTACATTATAAAGAATCTTCTTTGTCCTCATGTCAAGTCTATTCCATTTGTTTCTGCCATTTTTTTTCCAGTATTATAAGGTGTTTGTATTATCAGTGCTTTTAGTTGCCCTTAGTTACTCCCCCTTGCCCTCAGGATCATACAAGCACCACAGAAAGAAATCTGCGGAGATCTTGCTTTTTCCAACATATTTCACATCTTTATGTTAGGAATCACGATTTTGTTGAACTTTGAAGAATGTCAGATATAGACCTAATTCAAATTGTAGGAATTTGTGTTTGTCCTGAAGAAGTCAGGCATATAAAGTTATGGGCATCTAAAATTGGTCTAGTGCATGTTATATAACTTAGATAAGATATTACAGAACAAAATACATTTATAGCAGCATTTTAAAATAAGTTAATTTGGCATGTTCTGGCCATTTTTGTTCCATATTTCTTACTTGTAAGTTTGGAAACATATATGGAAAAGAAGAGAATTTTGTGTACATGCTGTTACACTATCTAGCTAAAAAATCTCCTGCAAACTTCTATGATTTTGAATCTGTCTTTCAGTTTTTTTAGATGTGCACATTCAGTTGATTTGTCTTACATACTCAGGATTAAGCTAGTAGGTGAATGGGAAGTCAGGAAGGAATCTTGTCCTTGTTTCAGAAAAGCAGGAGAGGGCATGTTCCTGTGTGCCATGGAGGTCATTTCCCAGTGTCGCGTGCGAGTGACCAGAGGGGTGTGAGGATACGGAAGCCGAATGGGGATCCCTGTATGTGAATGAAGAATTTGGGAAGGGGGGCAGAACAGAGTTTCGATGGGAGTCAGAGATGTCAC